CATCCTTGTAAACACTAAATATTATTTATCTACTTTCCATTTTTCAGTTCTGGTGTGTATAACCTTCTATGTGTGCGCTTGGAAATCATAACTCAGGTTAAGAACATTTAATTAAATCACATCCTTTGGAATTTGATAATAACACTAAGCCATATTACAATTTCGGTTTTAAAATAATAATGGAGGTAATAATAGAATACCCTTGTCAAAGTTTTAAGAGGTGCTCTATATTTGTGCTCTTGTATACAGCGGGTCGTGCTGACCTGAACTACAACAATAAAAAGAGCACGCCGATTTCAAATCTCTTTTAGAGCTTTCATCTGTTTGCCAGACTTATTAGTGAGCATCTGATCTTCTAACCCATCCTCAGATAACTCGCGGTATGACCCACAGCTTTTGAGGAAACTGACCTTGCCACGGCAGCACTGGCATGACATTAGAATCCAGAGAGATTTATCATGTTCTTTCATTTTGCTCCTCAAGGCTCTTTCCACATTCCCACACATCCTTGTAAACACTAAATATTATTTATCTACTTTCCATTTTTCAGTTCTGGTGTGTATAACCTTCTATGTGTGCGCTTGGAAATCATAACTCAGGTTAAGAAAAACAATGACAGAAAAACCACGGACCAAAAACGTTCAAAATGTAAGGAAATAAAACAGAATATTGGAAAATGAGAATGTCTGCTTATTTCAGGTTTTAAACATCCCTTTACCCAATGACCTTCCAGTTTTTTTTATTTTTTTATTATTATTTATTTTTAACAATTATTTTTTAGAGATTGCTTTCCCAAAAAATATTTAAATATTTTAGAGCTGAACATGACCAGTTAAATTCATTTTTAACAATAAATAAATAAAAGTTACATGACTTTTTTTTAGATTTCATTCATTTCTATGGCTTGTCCTGGCCCGGAAACCACAATTTTTAATTGCCTAATATGTCAAGGATTCATGATCCCTGGCATTTGTATAGAAATGCAAGCCTGTGCGTGTAAAGAAAAGCCTGACATCTAGTCCAAACTGATCATCTTTCGCAATCAAATTGATCCAACCGTTAACATGTATGACTTATTTAAAATCTCCCTGCATGTTCTAAACTCATTCTAGGGTGAAAATATTATGATTTCACAACACTATACAATAATTATGTTTTTTCTTAGTGTTTCTTGGCTGAAGGATAAAACAGTGCAGATGTACCAGATCACTAAAATGTCAAGTTCAGTGCCTTATGGCTAAAAGTCATCTGAAGCTTTTCTGCCACACAGCAACAGACCATGACCTCCTAAAATACACACTCATTAAAAACTTGTACCTCACACCTTCCTCTCTGAACACCGTTTAATAGAGCTTTAATGAAGACCAAAAACTTGGATATACTATGCAATCTTTCAGTTTTCGTTCAGTGACACATATAAGTTGATGACACAATGCTGATCAAATCGCTAGAACAAAACTGACATAATCAATATCACAAAACACAAGTTTAAATTACATACCAAGAACAGTATTTTAGGCTATTCATTTAAATGAGAGGGCCAGCCCTTCAGGATCTATGTCTGCTACCACCTGTTAACCCTGGCCAACACCCTCCAGACCTGTGGTTTCACGCTACAACCGTCCCGTTCTGCTCCACACCACACTCCCATAGAACATGAGGTGAGGGGTTAATTTGATATTGTGCTGAAGGAAACTACAAAGCGGCGAGCAGATGGCCATCTTTGAGCAAGGTTTCTACTAATACAAGAAAGCCAGAGATGGAAACAAGAGAAGCATTTCTGACCTAAACCGCAACATTTTTGGCTCGACGTTCACATCTTTGTGCAAATAATGAAGAAGATAAAACAGTGCAAATGTACATGTGAGTTATCCTGAACCTTGATGTGTTCCTCTATGGGTAGATATGGAAAAAACAAAAAAGGGATGGGTCAATTCAATTGAAATTTTAAACTGAACAAAAATCTGCACTTACGTTTACTTTGTTGGTCAAATACAGATGAAGACAGAAAGTATGAAAAGTGCAATGGACAGTCAGATGAAAGTCCATCGCAGTCTTTCCCACAACGTATCCCTCTGTGAGATCTGGCAACAAAATAACATTTGCTTGATGTGAGAGTGTGGGAGTATTTGAACAACTTCTTCACATTTTTTTTCCTAATGGGAGGAGGGGTGATGCCATCAGCCACACATTAATTTGTATGCAGTTATAATCATGCTACAATAAGTTTTTCAGAAGCTACGAATCAAGTTACAGTTTACAGTCAAAATGTTTGCAATTTTTACAAAAAAAAAAAAACTTTCAAAATTCAACAGTAAAATCTGTTGGTTAACTGCAAGTTACCTTACCATTGAAAAATGTAAATGTTTAACAGGCCATTACATGTAATTTTACAGTAAAATACTGTAGAATTGATGTGTTTTGTAGGTAACAGCTAGGCATTAAAAAAACTATAGTGACTATAATAATATTGTTTCTTATATTTGTTATCAGTAATGCACATTAGGTGTTTTGTGTTACATTTTATGTTATTTAGTTAATGTTTATTGCATTATTTTACTGTCATCTGTGTTACCATAATAGTCTTTTTCCTTTGTATGACCCTGTGAACTGTCAATATCCAAGTATTTTATGGACAGACCACTTTCATCAAACCGGTTTAATTGTGTGGTTTATATTTAGTGGTCGACTGATATATCGGCCGATATTTGGCATTTTTTAAATATCGGCATTGGCCGATAAGTTTTCCTGTTTGGCCGATGCGTTCGAGGCGTTTATTTTGACGTTATTTTTTCCGGAGTTATTTTGATGGTGTGACAGACTTTTATTTTGACAGCGCTGACAGCGGCAGCGCCTGAGCACACAGTGCTCACATTCTCCCTCTTGTTCGCTGTTGTCGTTAACAGTTCTGTCTACGAAATGAATGTGGACAGGAGGATAGTTCAGCTTCACTGGAGAATAAAGATGCGCAATCGACAAACTTTAAACTCGTGATTTCAAATTATGCTGCGCTTTATGCATTTGCCCACTGCCATATTCATGTCTTTTCCACATGCTGTATGTAAAATGAGTTTTACCTTGGCTTTATTTGAAAAAATATGATTCCCAAAATTTTGGTGGTTATTAGTACATTTTAAGGTATAAAGCAGATTTTGGTACTTTAGGTTGGTAATTTAACATTATATCACTTAATGAATGTAATGGTTCTTGTAATGGAACTTAATGGTTGTAAGTTGTAAAATATACAGGCGCCAATATGACATCCAGTGAAGCCTGAAACATTGCCAACATATTTGTTACAGTGAATTTCTGGCAAGCACAGCTGTAAGTCTTTTTTTTTTACCAAAAAATAAAATAAAAGTACTTACACACAGTGTCTGTTAGTCCAACTGCACAAAAACCAGACTAATTTCAATCAGACCTAATGTCATCTATTTCAAATTGATTGACTGTGGTAAATGAATAGACGCAACATGTATGATTATGGAATTAGAATAAATCTTGATCTCTGGGGACTCTTATTTAAAATTCCCCTGCATAATCTAAACTCATTCCAATATGAAAATATTATGATAATCACACTTCACAATAAATATTAAGCTGCTTTGTGTTTCTTGGCTAAAGCATGAATCAGTGCCGATGTACCAGATCACTAACAGGTCAACTTCAGTGCATTATGGTTAAAAGGCATCTAAAGATCTCCTGCCACAACGAAATATACACACAGCCGAAGAATGCACCATGAGGCAACAGATGCTGGGAAGCAGATTCATGACCTTCTAAAATACATACTCATTAAAAACCCTTGTACCTCACACCTTCTTCTCTGATCACCATTTAACCGAGCTACAGCGGGTTTTTGTGTATTTAAGCTACAGTCTTCATCGTGCTGGATTCATGCTGGATGAAGCCCAGCTCGAATTGCATTATCTAGGTCTGTTAGTCCGACTTCACGAAAACCGGACTTGGTACAATTTCAGTCAAAATAAAGCATTCACATGACATTTTAAAAAGACTGATTTTTGCTTAAACCAACTGAAATCGAACATTTAAAGCATGTAAACACACTTTTTGACAACTAGTCCAATTAAGCACAGGGAGTTTATGTATCAGAATTACTGTTAAAAGTGCACTCAGTAACTTTTTGTTTACTGACACCTACTGGCCTGGATGTATGAAGATTTACTAGCTGCTGCTGATTTACATTGAAACAGTTTATCTTCTGTTGCTTACTTGATGATTTGTAAAGTACTAGCCAAAGGCTCTATATAAAGTAAACATGTTATTAGTAATAGTAGTACTCTTAATGCAAGGCTGGTTGAGTGAAGTCAACATGGCAGCACCTACTGTATGAAGGGGTGGCCCACTCCATGTAAAATAAAACAACTTTATCTAAAAAAAACTATGTATACATATAAATCATTAAAACTTTTTCTAATAAGCACCTTTATTTTTTTATTTATTTACTTTTTTTGTGCGTGTAAACCATTTTAATTTACCAAAAAATGTCTGAGTGCACTTTAAGTGCAGCTAATCATGACAGCAAATTTATTATGGTGATGCATCTGCAAGCCAGTTTCATGTTTAACCTGAAACACCGAGTTATAAATATACTGTAATTCGATATATACTAGTACAATAAAACAACTCAAATATGACAGTCCAAACAATTTCTTTCCAACTGCAACATCAGAGAGACTGAATGAGCTCCTCCAACTAAATAAAGCTTATAACCAAATCACATACACAAATGTGAGCATTTAAGTGGAATGTGAAATTATACTGAAAAAGACACATAGACATTTGGATTTAAATGGTGTTGGCAACTTTTGTTTAATTTGTGCCCGTTTCATTGATTAATTTCATCAGTAACGATCACAGAAAGTGCACTACTGCGAACTCCAGCGTCCACATTAATAACAGGTTAAACCGAGCACGCAGCAACATAAAATATAAAGCCCAAATCAGTTTTTAAACCAACAGTGTTGTTATTTCCTTACCTGCATTTAAAGCGTTGAAACCTTCTTCAGAACAAAACCGCGTCGCTTTGCCTCCCACAGACTCGCAGTGATTTGAATCCCGGTTAATCCGCACGAGAGAAGAGACTTTCAGTCTGTAAACTTCACCGGGAGCGCGACTGCGTGTTTGTGTGTGTGTGTGTGTGTGTGTGCGTGTCCCTCGCTGTCTGTGTCCACGCAAAGAATGATTTCCTAAAAACTAATAAGTGAAATGTGTCCCTGTGTATTTTTAAACGCGCAAACTCCGGGAAGCCCGTCTCTTGTCTCTCATCCGCGGCTCTGCGTGTATTTGGTGAGGAATAACGGGAGGTGAGCGTCGGTTCACAGTAGCGTTATTGTCCGCTAGTGCGACCCGGCGGCCGCGGATGGAAAAGGGCTGGGCTTCAGACATCGCCTATCCACTCACAAGAGACGAAAACAGCCATGTTTATTCATCTAAATGCTTTCAGCGATTCCGTATCTGCGGGTTGTTTGTTTGTTAAAAACAACAAAAACAGACATTTGTTGTTAGCGTAACATCAAAACAAAAAAGTTGTTTTTGTTATATTAAGAGAAATGTAGGCTATTTATTTATTTATTGAAAGAAAACCTTATTTTCTAACTTTTGTTTGTTAAAACAGTGTAGTCTGCATTTGTTTGTTTGGTGGTTTGTTTGCCTGTTGTCTTCATTCGTTGAATCTTGCTTCTGGAAGAGAGTTCAACAAACAAACAAAAAACTATCTATCTATCTATCTATCTATCTGTCTGTCTGTCTGCTGCTGTCCGTCCGTCCGTCCGTCCGTCTGTCTGCTGCTGTCCGTCCGTCCGTCCGTCTATCTATCTATCTATCTATCTAATCGTTCTTGTTTATTTCACATTCAATTAAAGCATAAAGCTTTGCCGCTTTAGCTCATAACACACACAATGTAAAATGGAAGCCTCATTCAGTTTCATCTTTATAGAGGGGATGACAGGGTCAAAGGTCACATTTGGGCTAACTATCAATCCAAACAAAGCTTTTCGTTGAATCTTGCTTCTGGAAGAGAGTTCAACAAACAAACAAAAAACTATCTATCTATCTATCTATCTATCTATCTATCTGTCTGTCTGTCTGCTGCTGTCCGTCCGTCCGTCCGTCTGTCTGTCTGCTGCTGTCTGTCCGTCTATCTATCTATCTATCTAATCGTTCTTGTTTATTTCACATTCAATTAAGGCATAAAGCTTTGCCGCTTTAGCTCATAACACACACAATGTAAAATGGAAGCCTCATTCAGTTTCATCTTTATAGAGGGGATGACAGGGTCAAAGGTCACATTTGGGCTAACTATCAATCCAAACAAAGCTTGAAACTGAGAGGAAATGCAAACAGCGTAGGAAACAAAAATGGCAGGATATTGTAAATCAACTTATTTATTTGGGAAATTTAGTCATTTTCCACCTCTGATTGCATCATTTTAAACATTCTGCCTTTGACAGTATTTCAGAGAGAGTGTATATATGCTCATGGTCCCACAGATGGTGGGTGTGTTGAGTAGGTGTTTGTTTGAGTGGGTGTGTCTGTGCGGTGGGAGTTCACAGTATGCCAAAGAAAGAACACACAAACACATTCATGAAAACACACCCAAACGCGCCACACCTTTCATCCAGCATCACCGCCATGCGACCAATCCCTCTTCACCTCACAGTGGGCATCTTAAAATACAACCAATCTGCTGTCACCTCTGCGTATGCCCCATGGGCAGTCTCCTCCACACCTTCAAAGTAAACCAACATCAAGGCCTCACTCTTTTCCACAAACACATCATGTTTATTTGACCATATCAGAACAATTTCATTGCTTTGAAAATCACAGTGTAGTGGAGTATATTTTGAATACATGTGTTACAGTTACGGACACTTTCTGAGTACATAATCAAAGGTGACAAAGAGACCTAAAGCCAAGATTGATTTTCTTTTACACACACACACACACACACACACACACACACACACACACACACACACACACACACACACCAATATACTCTTTACAAACCTACTTAAAATGGAATTTACTTAAGCTAGCATAACCGGACTGAACTAAATTCAAAGGTCAAACGCACTCTGTCAAACGCCTAAAGATAAAAAAAAGGGATTAATTTCACCTAAGACTTGTAATGCTGACTACAACCAGAAGAGTACGCTGTTGTCAAAATATTCAATCTAGTATAGCCTACGATTTTTAAACAGTAGGCTATTCACTTTGTCTACCTAGAGACTATAGGGAAGACTTGGACTAGTCTCTTTTTACTCCAGTGAACATTTCCCAGGGTAGGTATGAAATTAGGTAGAAAAATTTAACACTTGAGGAAACTGAAATTGAAGATTTTAGATTTGAATTTAAAATGTAAATGTTAAAAGCCTACATTAAGTTTACATGTTTCCATTTTAAGAACATACGTCATATGTAAGTTGCGATAATGGAAACTTACAGTATGAAACACAAAACAGTCAGTAAAGCAGTAAAAACTGAAAATCACCATGACCATTTATATTTATTTAAATTATAGTGATAATGGTGATGATATGAACATGTTTTTGCGTGTTTGAATGTGATGAAAGTTCTCTGCCTTGAGGAACTGACCTTTGACCTTCTGTGAGAGAGTCTATTTATTCCTCTGCAGCCCTGTTTTTTCTTACACACAGAAGCCAAAAGAAGAGGAATCTGCAAACACAATCTCTATTTGATGTAACACCTGTATGTGGAAAACACATGTAACTGAACCACCTCTGAACTGACCCTTTTCTAAACCCAGCCTTGAAAATCTTTCTGACCAATACTACCTTGACAAATGCTGTCTGACAAACATTATATCTTGTCAAATGTGTGTGTGTGTGTGTGTGTGTGTGTGTGTGTTTCCATACAATGAAAGTCATTCAGGTCCAATGTTGTTTGGACTCCAGCATTTTTAAAAACATTGTGTCATGCAGGTTTGGAATGAAGGTAAATGATAACTTAATTCTAAAGTTTTGGGTAAGCTATCCATTTAATTATCCATTTTTTGTACATGCAGCTCATAAAGTTTCCCTCTGACAAATAACAACTAGTCATATTATCTGCAGCAATATCAACGTAGGCCTATGTGGGAATTATCTGGATGATTCCAAGAATCATCATGGCAAACTATGTCAAGTCAAGTCAAGTTTATTTGTACACAGCGCTTTTCACGATACAAATCATTGCAAAGCAAGTTTACAGCAAATTAAGTTTCTACAATATTTAGTAGTAGCTTATCAGACTGACTATGTCAGTGTCATCTCTTGATGTCTTTTCTTCTGCTCATTTACTCACACTTTGCTCTATGATTATGCTGGATGTCATACATTAATCACAAACATCACACAGTCCACCCACAGTCCATGCAATAACCGTTTGATCAAAAACAATGCACACAAGACTGGGAAACACTTTCTTTTATATAATAAGCTCTAATCTGATTGTCTTCAGGGAGTAAAAGCTTAATGGCCTTTTTTATCAGTCTGTCTGGAAACAAAGTTGAGTTTAACAAGGCTGTTGAAGATGAAATAATTGTTTGTGAAGATTAAAGTTTGCAAGGTTAGTGACATCAAATCTATATTCAGTTTGGTTTGAGACTGTAATAAAAATACAGTAAAAACAGTAATAATGTGAAATATTACAATCTAAAATAACTGTTTTCTATTTGAATGTTTTAAAATGTAATTTATTCCTGTGATGTAAAGCTGAATTTTCTTCATCATTACTCCAGTCTTCAGTGTTACATGATCCTTCAGAAATTATTCTAATATGCTGATTTGATGATCAAGAAACATTTATTATTATCAATGCTGAAAACGCTATTTTTTGTCATTTTTGTTAAAACAAGTATTTTTGTAGAAACCTTTGAATATTTTTGTAGAATTCAGGATTCTTTGATAAATAGACAGTTCAGAACAACATTTATTTGAAATGGATGTTTTTGTAACAACATAAAAGTCTTTACTGTCACTTCTGATCAATTTAATGCATCCTTGCTGAGTATTAATTTCTATAAAAAGTATTAATTCCTTTAAAAAAAGAAAAGAAATAAAATCTTACTGGCCTCTAACATTTGAATGGTAGTGTATATATGCATAAATCTATATGCATCTTGTCTATAACAGACGTTTAATGGGAGGATCCATTCTGACAACTTACTACATATAGTGACAACATGCCCCGCTGCTGTAACATATACCTACCCTGAGAAATATGCACTGAAGTAAAAAGTGTAACAACTCACCTATGTTTTTATACATTATAAATATATTATTTTATACATTGTTTTAAAAACCTGCACAGATAGGATTATATCAGAAAATGCAGAAAATATTAGGCCTATATATTAGGACAAATATTTTAATGTTTTATATCAGTTTCTACCAAACAGTTACTGCAGTTACTATAAACCATAAAGAATGAAATGGGATCTCTCTCAAAGAGCTTTCAGATTCTTCCTGCTATTTGGTTTATTTCATTTTTATGGTAGGCCTAGTAGTCAATAAAACCCTCAACTTCCTGGACGTTCAACAAAAGTTGTTGTTGATGAACAAAGACAGACGGCAGTCAGGTGTGTACTATTCAGCGCAAAAGACAAATAACCACTGTTAAAATCCTAATTGTTATTTTGAACGAGCAGAGAACAAGGACCCTCACCTTAATCACGTGACGGTGAAGGAGCGCGAGGCGGAGGTGGGCGTGTCCTCGCGAGACTGACTGGCGCTCACCTGGGTCACTACTGTGAACAATCCGAGTGGTCGAGCAGTGCGCTTTGACGGAAGTAGTGGACACGCAGAATAAGGTGGACGAATTCATGGCTTCACCTCTGAAAGCGGGATTCCACAGACTGGAGATCCAGAAAACTACATGGGATGTTCCTGACCGATACACCTCACTCAAGCCCGTTGGCTCTGGAGCCTATGGGACAGTGTGGTAAGGGGGCTGTTACGCTGAATTATTATATGCAGAAAGAGAATTACATACGCAAACGGGGGTTTATACTGTACATGTAAGGGGGATTTCTATATGGTATATGGCAAATATATATGTTAAGTGGGACTGAAAGGGTTTATATATGTTAAGGAGGTTTATAGGCTATGACTAGGGGATATATGCTAGAGTATGGAACTGATTTGTAAAATGCAGTGGCTGAAGAACCCTAATTATTTTTGACTATTCATGTTGAAAACAGTGGTATAGACGTATTAATTCTATGTATTAAATTCGCTTAATGTATTATTATTAGTATTATTATTTTACTTAAAATCCAGTGCTACACTTTACTGTTACTTGTGTTTATTATGCACATGTAATACAAGTAACATAGTTGATATGCAATATGTGTCTATGACATAGATCT